TCATCTTCAGTATCGAGTTAGTGTAGGCAGCTGTTGATGAATATTTCCAGTTTGTTGGAAATGCCTTTCGTAACCCACCAAGTCTCTCAACCATCACACAGAAGCACTGAGTTACTTGACTGACATTAGTGTTAAAGATCCGGATGTTGTTCATGCTTTATGCTGAGTGCAGCAGATCTCCACACTGGTTTCAAGTTAATGAACACCTGTCTCGCTTTTCCAATCCTGGCTTTGACGTCCTCATCTGTGCCTGTGCCGAATGTAGTTGAAACAATGCTGTCTAGATAGGTGAAAGAGGCTACTTCCTTTACGTTTCTCCCGTTGATGGTGATTGGAGCTTGTTGTTGTTGTTGTTGGTAGTGGTGTTGGTTAGGTATCATCATCAACTCTGTCTTCTCTATGTTCACTTGAAGTCCCGTGTTCGCTGAGCTACCTCTTCTGTCAACTTGTTGCATTTTACCTGTAGTTCTTCGAGTTTGTGTGACATTCGACGCAAGTCATCGGCGAAATCCAAATCTTCTTCTGAGGTTTTTTCATCGGTCCAGCCAGCATATGCCCCTCTTCTCTCTCCTCACTATTTGTTGCATGATCCAGTCCAGTCGATTACAACCAGTAGACAGCCTTGTTTCACTCCTTTGTATTTTCCGTTTAAAGTGTCACTGAGCTTCCCATTGTGAATTACTTGGCATGTGGCGTCGTCAGATAGCCAGCTGTTGAATGAGGTTGATAAAGGTTTGTGGTATTCCGTAGTGTTGAAGCAACTGTTTGCCAAATTATTTCTCGGTCGACGCTGTCGAACGCCTTCTCAAAGTCGATGAAGTTTAGGTGTAGAGTTCACTGCCATTCTATAGTCTGTTCCATGATGATGCGAAGCGTTGCGATTTGGTCCGCACTCAATTTGTACTTCCTGAATCCAGCCTGTTCTGGTCGTAGTTTTGGATCCAGTGCATCCTTTAGTCTCTCCAGGATGATGCGGTTTGATATTTTGCTTGTTTTGGGTGGACAGGAGCATGATTCCTCACCAACTCTTGCAAAGACTTAGGTCGCCCTTCTTTGGGAGTTTGACAAGGTAGCCCTTCTTCCAATCACCAGGTACCTTCCCTTCCTTCCAGACCTTCTGCAGTAGGGGTGCGAGCAAATCCGCTGTTGTCCCTAAGTCTGTTTTCAGTGCTTCTGGCGGGATTCCATCTGGTCCTGCTGCTTTTCCACATTTCAGTAGCTTCATGGAGCTTAGGGCTTCGACTTTCGTCGGAGGGCTTGTGTTCACTTGCAGTTCTGTGGCTGCAGGTGGTGGTAGATTCAAGAGCTTTTCGAAGTGGTCAGCCCATCGTTTCCTTTGTTTTTCTTCTTTGGTAATTACATTTCCTTCATCATCTTCTATTGGTTTCATCTGTGTTGATCTCTTCCCAGATAGTAACCTTGTTATATGATACCAGGTTGTCAGGTCTCTCCTACCTGCAGCCTATTCTGCTTCACTTGCCAATGCGTCGTAAAAGTGTCTTTTGTCTTTGGGCGCGCTCTTCTTCACTTCTTTATCCAGTATACATTGTACTCAGTTCCTCTTCTCATCGTTCATCCTTGCACTGCACTTGTTTATCTTCTGCCTCACCATCCTCCTCTCCTCTATCAGCTTCCATGTGTCCGTCGAGGTCCATTCCTTATCTTCTTTCTTCTTCCTTCCTAATACGGTTGTGCAGGTTTCTTTCCACATAGCTTTCAGAAACTTCCAGTGTTATTCCATGCAAGTTTCCTCCTCAGGATATTGCTCGATATCCCTCATTGTTCATGATAACTTACTGACGTGAAGACGTCCTTTGTAGTTTCGTGCTTTAGTTTCTGTTCTAGGTGTTCAACTTAAACTGTGGTCTATCACCAACTTCTTTGGCGACTTTCAACTTGACTTTGAAGGTTTCTTGCACTAGATAAGTGGGTGGTCTGAACCTATATCTGCTCCCCTCCTTGATCTTGTTTCAGTTAGGCTGCATCTCCACTTTCTTCACATTCAAATGAAGTCGATCCGACTTTTAGTGTTTCCATCTAGTGAAATCCATGTCGCTTTGTGGATATTCCTGTGCTATGAACACAGTACCTGCAATCACCTAATTGTTGAATGCACAGAATTCTGCAAACAGTTCTCCATCCTCGTTCATTTCACCAAGTGCTTCTTGACCCATGATCAGCTCTCACCCTGTGTTGTCTGCTCCCAGTTTGGCATTCATGTCGCCCATTAGAATTTTGATGTCGCCAACTGGAGTGCAGTCTTTTCCAGTGCTGATTGCAGTTGTCTGTAGAATTCCTGCTTCTTCTCTTTATATGCATTATTTGTAGATGAAAGCATAATTAGAGGATAAAATTATCAGCAAACTGGTGCCACGTCAATCTGAATGAATGTATAGGATACACACTTGTGTATGAACAACATACCTATCATACATGTCAGTAAATATCAGAAGTGCTTCTTGCCTATATTTTGTGTTAAATGCTATTCATACTTGTTTCAAGAGACTTTAGAGGAGTTACGTTTAAGGCCACCCTTTAAACTGTTAGAACAACCAATTAGATCTATTTATTTCAGATTCGAAGCTAATTTCGAATAACTTTCACGGAAGATCTGGCAACTATTGAAATAACGAATCAGATTTCAGTATTTTTCAAGTTGGAATTCATCATGAACTAACATCAGGTGGAGGGACATTGGAAACCTGGGAGCACTGGATAGCTGTCTCGTCCTGGCATGGGACTCCTCAGCAGTGTGCACCCACTACCCTGCCTCACCAAGGATTGAATCCAGGACCTTCAGGTTCTGTCACCAACACGTCACCGTTGACCCAGTAGGTTGGAATCTAGCTGTCCATATTCCCAACTCCTGTCAGTTCACGACGTAGCTTGACTACCACCTAATGTCATCGTTGAGTATTTGTCCTCATGGCCATAAGGTCCGCCCTACCCGTCAGGACTTCTCGTTGGAACTTCAGGGATCATCTGACGAAGCTAGTCACCAATGAGCACTAAATCAATTGAATTTAGGGGTTTGTGGGGATTTAGTGATTTTTCAAGTTGGCATTTATCATGGATTGACATCAGTTGGTGGAACAGTAGAAACATGAGAGCACCGGACAGTTGTTTCTTCCTAGTATTGGACTTCTCACCAGTATACACCCGTGACCCCACCAGGGATTGAATAGTAGCTTGCTGGCCACGGAACCTGAAGGTCCTGGGTTCGAATCTCAGTGAGGTGGGGTCATGGGTGTGCACTGCTGAGGAATTCCATACTAGGCCGAAACGGCTGCTAGTGCTCCTAGGTTTCCAATGTTCTTCCACCTGATATCAATCCATGATGAATACCAACTTGAAAAATTACTAAATCCCAACAACCCCCCAAATTTAATTTGGTATTTTGACTGGAAAGTTAGGTTTTCATAAAATAAGAAATCTCACTGGTTATTCCAGTAATTTCTTGGATAGCCATTACAGGAGTGGCTTCAAAGATCATGTGTCATACGTCCTCTAGAGTATGCAGATATATGAACAATCTTCACTACAGATCTGCATCAACTGTGGCAACCAGTAGAGACATAAAAGTATTTTTCAATTCTTGGAACTCATTTTCACAATCTAGATTCAGTCATAAACTGGGAATTAATTTGTGAATCACTCTTTGTGTCTGTGTGTATATATATGTGTGTGTTTTTGTGTGTTGAGCTGTATAAGAGTGAGGTTACTACACCTAAAAATATTTTTTCCTGTAGAGATATTACTACTCATGATATTCCTGAATGTGGTCGGCTGGACTGGATCATGCAACAAATAGTGAGGAGAGAGAAGAGGGGCATATGCTGGCTGGACCGATGAAAAAACCTCAGAAGAAGATTTGGATTTCGCCGATGACTTGCGTCGAATGTCACACAAACTCGAAGAACTACAGGTAAAATGCAACAAGTTGACAGAAGAGGTAGCTCAGCGAACACGGGACTTCAAGTGAACATAGAGAAGACAGAGTTGATGATGATACCTAACCAACACCACTACCAACAACAACAACAACAAGCTCCAATCACCATCAACGGGAGAAACGTAAAGGAAGTAGCCTCTTTCACCTATCTAGACAGCATTGTTTCAACTACATTCGGCACAGGCACAGATGAGGACGTCAAAGCCAGGATTGGAAAAGCGAGACAGGTGTTCATTAACTTGAAACCAGTGTGGAGATCTGCTGCACTCAGCATAAAGCATGAACAACATCCGGATTTTCAACACTAATGTCAGTCAAGTAACTCAGTGCTTCTGTGTGATGGTTGAGAGACTTGGTGGGTTACGAAAGGCATTTCCAACAAACTGGAAATATTCATCAACAGCTGCCTACACTAACTCGATACTGAAGATGAGATCAGATGGCCAGAATAATAAGAATAAGCAACAAGGAACTGTGGCTAACTGGCCACAAAGCAACGAAGAACCGATCACTCAAGAAATATGCAGTGGAAGGAAGTGGAGATTTATTGGGGATGGAGTGAGAAGGCCGACTGGAGACATGACGCGTGGGGCCAGGCACTTGAGTGGAACCCAGATGGGAAACGACGAGTTGGGCGTCCGATGTGATGGTGACATGGAGGAGATGGTGTGAGGAGGAAATGAGAGCTTGTGGGCAGTTGTGGAGCGAGGTTGAAAAGATTGCAGAGAAGATAGTGGAAATGGAGACGTGCTAGTGAAGCCCTGTGTTCCACCAGGAATCCAAGGGACAAATGTTAATAATAATGCTGATTTTCGAACTTCAACTTCGATGAAAATGAATTTAAAATGTTTATTATGATTTCCAGGTTAATAATTCAGAAGTAGTTTTACTTCATCAACTAACTAACATACATATTTCTACTAATTTTTATTGGTTGGAAAACTCGTTCATGTTGTTGTTTGATCAATTCATATTTGTTATCATGAACCTGATCAATATTCCAATGGACGATAAATTTTGATTCATGTTTTAAGACACTTTTAACACACATATGTGTACGCGGAGACTATAAAACTGGCATACTTAAATGTATACATTAATTTAATGTAATTAATGCATAATCAGTCAGTCAGCCGGTCATTTGTTTAGTTAGTTAGTAGTTTTGAATGGTAACGGTACACTATAATGTGAGAATTCATACAAACTACCTGTGAAAATTATATCCTGTAACAACGTCTACATTTCAAAAGCTTGAGTATGGGAATTTGAACGTACCCTTATATCATAACCATCTACTTTACTTAATTACAAATCTGAAAGGTTATAAATACACAAATACACTTTTTCAATTATACCATTTTAGTTGTTGGTTTCGACTGAAGCGAAAAAGCACTACAACTACTACTACTAGTCCTGCCATAGTAATAAAATGTCATGTGTTCCTTTGTTAACTACTCTAATTCTCCTTACAATGTTGAACATGAAAACAACTTGTAAAAGACAAAAACTTCGTATGGATTATACTGATTCTTGTCCATCAATGTGTAAATGTTCAATAAATTCACCTAACACTAACAATAATGATTCAATGTTCAATATGAAAAAGAATATGATAGCTAACTATGCTGAAATGAATTATTCTATACTAGCTAGATGTTGGATTACATCTGATTTAATCTTTTTGGAATGTACACCAAAATGGAATATTTTACACTTACAGATATTGAACGATTATAAGGAATACTCTAAAGATTTGAAATATACTAATAATGATATTCATATTGAACCATCAATAAATTTATTCCATAAATGTAAGTCAATTGAAAGATTAGCAATTTGGGAGAAAAGTCAAATTAATTATTTATCAAATAGTCTTTTTAAACCATTGACAAATTTAACACGTTTAATTATTCAATTACCAATGTTATATTATTTACCGAGTCATTTTTTAATTTTTATGCCACAATTAACATTTTTAATGATATCTAAATCACCACTTCTTAAAAGGATATCATATGAAGTATTTGAACCATGTCCAAGAAATTTGAAAATATTATGGCTTAATGGAAATGGATTAGAGGAGTTATTAATGATGGGATTATTTCAAAGTTGTGATCTACACGAATTATGGTTGAATGAAAATAAGCTAAAATCAATACCGGTAGGAAGTTTAAATGGATTAGAGAATCTACAATATCTAAGATTAGATCATAATAATTTATACGGTTCATTAGAAGAAGTTATGGGTGTAATATTGAAAAAACCAAGTCTGTATGATAATGATGATCAATATTCAGCATTATATGAGGTGAAAATGCTGAAATTCTTGGATTTATCATTTAATAGAATTACATCAATTCAAGGTTATCTTTGGTCAGGTCTATGCTCTTCTATGTACAATAAAGGTCTTTGTCATTTGGAACACCTTAGATTGGAATATAATGAACTTATCTATTTGGCGCCTAATTCATTCATTGGTTTACCAAAGTTAAGAAAACTTACACTTTCTGGTAATCTTAAGTTGTATTCACCAGAAGGTATTATGAGTTTAACACTATCATTACATAGTTTAGTATTTTCAACAAAATATTTGGATGAAGTATTGATACCAATAAAAAATGAAGCAATTGATACATTGAATATCTGTCAAGTGGAATTGGATGAGTCAAGAGTTTCACTTATAGATAAATGGTTGAAGTCAATCATTATTGAATTAAATCATAGTCGATGTCATAAACACGATGAGTGGAACAAAGAACTTCCTACAGAACAAACTACTTCCCTGATCATCGATCAGTCACAGACTTTTAGTCCGAATGTAACCAAATCTACAAGAGTACATAATACTTTCGTCTCAAATCTGTCAGAATATCGTAATAGACTAATAACATATGTGAGAAATTCAACTGAAATGGAGTTAGTATCAATTTTTGTTGGACTTGCATGTTTCGGAGTAGTCCTAGGCTCATCAGTTGTTGTATTAATCTGGTATTTGACTAGACCGCGCATGAAAACTATTGAATCTGGAAAATGTAATAAGGCAAAAATTCAAATAAAACAAAGTGAAAATAGATCAGTTCAAAATTACATTCCATTGACTCAGATTCCTCAATCTAGTTCAATACAAAATATCTCACAATCTTCAACCTACATCCATCCATATCATCAAATGCAATCTCAAGTATGTTATCAACTTTTGAAAAGTGATCTTATCCATTCATCAACTGGAAATTCAATTGTCTATCCCTTAATTGGTTGTAATTCACTTTGTCATATACCCACAGGTAGACTGATGAACACTGTTACTACTACTACTACTACTAACAATAATAAAAGTAATAATTATGATTACAATTTATCACATCAATCACTAAACACAATGATTATCAAGTATCCGTCAGCCTCTACTTCACCTTACATGAAACAACCTGACCTATTGTGTTCACCAACAATGGAATCTAGTATCTCAGAGTCTGTATATAGTCTGGGGACAAATCGATCCACCAGTAAGAGGTCTCAACATAAAAAATCTATGAGCAAATTTTCTTAAATGGTTGAGTACATAAATATCCAAATTTTAAATAAATGAATTTAATTTAAGATGATATATAACTTTTCAATGAAACATGAAAGTGGTTCCAAATGAAAGCTAATGGTGATATCTTGGTAGGCATCAGAATGTGTTCATTTACATATATATATATATATATATATATATATATATATATATATATATATATATATATATATATATATATATACGTATGCACGTGTGTAAAACTGACTACTTAAATTATTTAACTACTGAAATTAGACAATCACATATTTTTGTTAGTAGTATGTTTATAGTTAAATTAACCCCGAAACACGAAAACACATACACACAAAGAAGTTCGAATAATTGTGTCGTAAAAGTGAATACAAAGTAGGTTGGATAAAGGAAATTTCAAAAAATCTAAAGTAAACATTCTTTGTTAAGTTTTCATTAGAACATGCAAATGAATGTTGAACAGAAAATATTATACTAAAATTCTATGACAAGTGACTTTTACAAACGTATGATTTAGGTGTATATACAATGGTCAACTGCACATGTTTCATCCATATTCACCCAGTTTCAAGACATATGACTTGGCATATTTTAGGGACGTCAAGTGACTATATTAACTTGTCACTTGAGGACAACCATCCTCATGTTGTCTAGCCTTCAGTACCGACCGAATTCTATGGGTCATTTTGCAGTCTGGCCCCCAAGCTAGGAGGTTCGCCATCGCGGCACATTTTGATGGATGTTAGTTGGTAGGAGGGAATGGCCAGAAAGCCCTGCTCCGCTAAGATTTCTTGCCTGCTGGCACTTGTCAGTAAGGCATATCTACAGCCTCGAGGGAACTGATATCCGACTTGATAACTGAACCCACTTCATCCAGCGCTGCAGTCAGCAATGTTACCACTCAGCTATTCCGGCTATGACTCATCTCCCGTACAACTGGATTAGATACACTGGTTGGTCACTGAAGGGGAACCAATTTCATGTTGTCTAGTCCTCCTAAGGGCTGACTGAATTCTGTCGGTCATCTTCGATAAGATGACTAACTTGAAAAGGATTTACAAACTGCACGGTCCATGGTGACATTTCTTAGAGAAATGTTTCAACTATCTAACTGTGGTGTCAATAGGATTTCCCCTGGAAACTACCCCATAGCCAAGATCACGAGCTGTAGTCTCTGACACAGAAGTATCATGAACTAACGAAATATACTACTACTGAACGACTTGAGCAGTTACAAACCATTGGGGCTGACCCGTGAACTTCGTCAGCCAAATAATAGTCAGCTAAAACACCAGATGGCTGTTTCGGCAGTCTTGGCCTCTGTTGATCAATGGTACTTGGACAAATCTTGGTTAGCGAAAAATACAAATTAGCGTGAGTGCTTTCTACCTACTAACTTTATTCAATGGTATATTTCACCTTTCTCAAGGTCATCGGTACGCCCTACTGACCACTTCCAACAAGCACAACTACTTATATTCATGACTTTTTGTCTACTGTCTGCAACCATCTCAAACCAATCAAAGTATATCATGACGAAGAGGTTTTCAGCCTGATGACAACAATGAAAACTTGATCGACTGAAGTCATTCAGCACCTAGGAATAAACAGTATGACAGTAACTGCTTCTCAGTACTGAACTAAACAAGATGATCAACCAGTTAAATGAAGTATATTCTTAAGTGTTGGTTGACTGAGCTGTCTTCTTCAGTTTGACAGGGTCTCCCAGACATCCCTCACAGCCGCATGCGGTCAACCAAAATGCACTGCAATGACTAATCCCGTAGCCTACTAACTCAAGAGAATCCCTACATCAACTATGTACGACAAGGCAATACAACATAGCCACACTGTAAATTGATTAGTGCAACCTATATGACTGCGGTAGGTTATAGATATACCTTGCTAACTATTACTAACGAGCATGGAGTTTAGGTCAAGTACAACTTCCAATCATTTATAAAAAGCAAGAACTGACAAAGACGATAAATCTGCTATATAGATGAACATGCTGAAAAATTGCTAAGAAAAATTCAGTTAGGGCTGGACAGCACTATATTGAATACCTTTGAGTGATTAGTCAAAGTTAGCATAAATTATCATAAAAACTCTTCTAGAAATATACAACTGTAGCTGAGCAAGAAGGATATCAGATATATTTATCAATAAAACCCGATATACCTACGTATATAGCTGTATGAAAAAGTGAATGTGAACAACACTCAAATTTCTCATCTATCCCGTAAATAAATAAACTAGTCAACTCTTAAAAACCCTGCACGATGAAACCGTCTATCAGAACATCACATAAACAATGAAATGTGTTTACAACAGTCCTATATGGAAATAGAACTCTTGCCTACTTTGATAAACAGACAGAAATTTGACAGCGTTATGTTCTCTGAGCTGAATGATTTAATCGCAGTGCTTTCATTGTCATTCTAGACTATATCATCAACACAAACTCCAAAAAGAAGTGAGCTATAAGGTTTTCTCCACAAGTGACTTAGTACCTTGTCATCATGGCCTTGTGTGTGATTGGTTGTTTCCGTCAGGGTTTTGTTACTGTTTCCATATTTATTTTGATTGGTTGTAGTGATGGCCTAAAATTTGACCTTCTTATTGTTTCTTATTGGTTGACAGATTGGGTCAATGTCAATGTCTGCTGTTTGTTAACTGACCTGAATACCAAACTTGTAGAAATTCTCTGGAATTTTTGTATTTCCTCTATCCAAGATTTCCACATTTCAATTTCATATCCACAGTTATTCGTACTCAATGATTTTCTAGAAGAACAGCAATCCATGCAACTTCCTTAAAAGGTGTTTTCATAGTTCATCATCAACAAAGAAGTCAACCTCAAAAATTAACAAACAGATTGTTTTACCCTACATGAAGAACGTCTCCGAGATCACGACTAGATTATTGAAGCCTTTTGAAATCCCTATATCTCACGAGCCCACAAAATCCCTTCACTGTCTTTCATGCAGGTCAAAAATCCGTTACCGAAGGAAGACAAACTAAGCGTTATCTACAAGGTAAACTACAGAAACTGAGAAAAATACTTTATCTTACAGAGAGATCGCCCTCTTTGTATCCGTCTACATCAACATCAGCTAGCAGCGAAGCGTTATCACACATCTTCGCTCATATCAATCCATATGGATGAATGTGGATACAAATTTGACTGGTTAAATGTGAAAATACTGGATGAAGGAAATATAAAGAATGTCAGAGATTACTTAGAGGCTTGGTATTCAGGTCAGTCAACAATCATACTGACATTGACCCAATCTGTCAACCAATAAGAAACAATAAGAAGGTCAAATTTTAGGCCATCACTACAACCAATCAAAATAAATATGGAAACAGTAACAAAACCCTGACGGAAACAACCAATCACACACAAGGCCATGATGACAAGGTACTAAGTCACTTGTGGAGAAAACCTTATAGCTCACTTCTTTTTGGAGTTTGTGTTGATGATATAGTCTAGAATGACAATGAAAGCACTGCGATTAAATCATTCAGCTCAGAGAACACGACATCATTAAAATTATCCTCCTGAGCTACAAATATTCTTCAGCATCTCAAAACGGGCAGGAGAAATGCATCTATACTATATTCTCGAACAATTTCAATGAATGATGTTAGCTGCTAAGAATAAATTTGTTTCACTTAGATTCTGAAGGAGTCGTCAATCCTTAGAAAGGTGTGTGTGCAGCCTTGAATAATCTCACTTTACCTTACAGATCGACACCTGTGTCACTCAGTGCAAAGTTCAAAAAGCTTCAAGCTTGCTTTATGCATAACTGAATAATTTTGATAAAATCAATCATGTGATACGTATCGAGTTACCTATCAAGTCCGTAGATCGGATCAATGTTTTTAAATAGAAACTAGAAACCAATGAAACATATGGATGAAAGTAACACAATGATATGAAACAGAAATAGGATGAAAGACAGACAAATAAACTAGTTAAAAACGAAAATGATGAAAAAAACACAAGACCAACATGACAGGTTGTTAAATAAAGGAAAGAATGTGAAGAATGATTTTCTTGTGTCATCAACCGATAAGTGGAAAAAGTGGATGTTGGATAAGTATCACTGTTTGTATTATTTTATTTATCATAAAATTCATTTCATTTATGACTTAATTGGTAAATATATTGTATAACTCGGTTGAAGAGCTTTCGATTAACATATATTTCCGATATAACTGAATGTTGAGTATAACCCATTGCTGTACACTGTCCTATATTTTATGCTTGAAATTGGTGATTTCATTTCAATGAATTATGGTACATCATAGTCAAGTAATTTAGGTGTATAAACAAACGAATTACCATCGTCTAAAATATGCAAACAATATCAGCATGACACTTTGTGTTCTGTTGTAAATGGTTGAAGGTTGATGCGAATTGCGTGACTTATCATGTGGGTCTATTGAGTATACCAGGCTGGGCAAGTTTACTCAAGACCAATCACATTCAAAGTGAGTATCAAGACTGAGTTGATAGTATCATATGAATCAGGTAATCACAAGTAGACAAAGCTATAATATCTTGTTTATATGTCAGTCAAAGACTACCGCTGATTTGTAAACACTCTGGTCTATAAATCTACAGTTGAATTCATAAATCAGGCTAGTCAGTGAATTCAACTTTTGTTGTGTTTCTCCATCTGAATATAATTTGGCTTACTATGAAAGTTAATGATGGATCGTGGCTAGCAGTAGAATCCACGATGCACACTTTGTCCTATTTGGGACTCGTCAGCTGGATGTACCTGCTTTCCTAATGAGTGTTGTTCCCACCGGGATTCGAACTCGGGAGCGATCGCTTCAAACGCCAGTGGGAACAATATCACTCACTGGGAAGCAGGTACATCCAACTGACGAGTCCCAAATAGGACGAAATATGCATCCTGGATTCTACTGCCAGCCACGATATATCACTTAACATAATTAGATTGCTGGCAATATTGAGGCATCCACACAGGAGACCATATGCCAATAGACACCGATCAATTCGTTCCATTCAACGACGGTATCATATAAAAACCCTAATACTAACTTACAATGAAAGGTTTATAATCAGTTTTACAACTTT